TTTTTCCGGGTCTCCCATGCAGATGTAGGGGCCCAAGCACTTGGGCCATCTGCTACTGCTTTCCTAAGCCTTAGCAGAGAGCTGGATCAGAAGAGGAGCAGCTCAGATATGAATCGGTGCCAATAGGGGATGCTGGCGCCACAGGCAGAGACTTAGCTTGCTATACCACAGTGCTGGCCCCTGCCACTTTTCCTTTTAATAATGTACCAAGATCAGTAAGTATTTTATTAGTTGAATAATATTACTTTTCTGTATAAAATATGTGTGGTGTTTAATGCAGACAGCACCACTTCATATATAACTTCTATTCTGGTGATAGAGTCTTATTTTTATTTTTTTAAAGATGTATTTGTTTGAAAGAGTTACACAGAAAAAAGGAGAGGCAGAGAGAGAGGTCTTCATCCACTGATTCACTCCCCAGTTGGCCTCAGTGGATGGCTGGAGCCGCGCTGATCCAAAGCCAGGAGCCAGGTGCTTCTTCCTGGTCTCCTATGCGGATGCAGGGCCCAAGGGCTTGGGCCATCTTCTATTGCTTTCCCAGGCCACTCCAGAGATCTGGATTGGAAGAGGAGCAGCCAGGACCCGAACTGGCGCCCATGTGGGATGCTGGTGCTGCAGGCGGTGGCTTTACCTGCTATACCACAGCATCGACCCCTGACTCTCATTTTTAAATTAACTTATTCCACACAAATTAATTACTAAATGAACAAATATAAATAATGAACTTCTCTGACTGCTTGAATTGATATGGCTTGAATGACATCCCATAGCAGAATGTTGCATTCTCTTGAGTATTGTGTTTGCTGTGAACTTTGAGACTGGTGTCAGTCTTCTCCATAGTTAGATTTGTGTGTGTTAATATGAGAGATGCAATGTTGAATGTTATTTATTTTGTTTTGATCTCTTCTCCATTAGTGTCAGCATTCATCAGTTTTGTGTTGGCATCAGTTATATTATTTTGAGTTTATTCAGGAAAAATTGGTTGGTTTGCCATAGATGTCACTTGCTTTGAGAATTTCAGAATTTTCATGGCTTTGTGCCACTTTTTGATAGTTTTATTATGAAACTATAGTCAAGAGGCAATGAGACTGCCATTTTCATAACATCCAAGTGTAAGCTGTTTTCTCGTACTATGATAAGGAAGTATACCAAAGCAGAGGCCAAAGTTGTCTGAAGACATTTTAAGAAATCCTGAACTTGAGGCTGGGGCTATGGCGTAGCGGGCAGTTTAATACAGACAACACCACTGCATATATAACTTATAACTTCTTTTTCTTTCTTTTTTTTTTTGGACAGGCAGAGTTAGAGAGAGACAGAGAGAAAGGTCTTCCTTTTTCCGTTGGTTTACCCCCCAAATGGCCGCTGCGGCCGGCGTGCTGTGCCGATCCGAAGCCAGGAGCCAGGTGCTTCCTCCTGGTCTTCCATGCGGATGCAGGGCCCAAGCACTTGGGCCACTCCACTGCCTTCCTGGGCCACAGTAGAGAGCTGGACTGGAAGAGGAGCAACCGGGACAGAATCTGGCGCTCCGACTGGGACTAGAACCTGGGGTGCTGGCGCCGCAGGTGGAGGATTAGCCAAGTGAGCTGTGGTGCCGGCCCAATCTTTTTTTTTTTTTTTTTTAAGAGTTCTTTTTATGTTCCCTTTTTGGTAGCATTCTGTTCTAATTTTTTCTGTCTCTAAGAAATTAATTAGTTTTTAAAAAATGTTTTGTTTTGGGGCCAGTGTTGTGGTGTAGCCAGTAAAGCTGCCATCTCTGATGCTGGCATCCCATGTGGGTGCTGCTTCAAGTCCCAGCTGCTCTACTTCCTGTCCAGCTCCCTGCTAATGCCCTGGGAGAGCAGTGGAAGATGGCCCAAGTCCATGTAGGAGATCTGGAGGAAGCTTCTGGCTCCTGGCTTTTATCTGGCCTAGCCCTGGCCATTGTGGCCATTTAGGGAATGAACCAGTAGCTAGAGAATCTCAATCTCTCTCTCTCTCTCTCTCACTCTCTCACTCTCTCACTCTCAGTCTTTCAAATACATAAAAGATTTTTTTAAAAGTTTTATCTTAATGATTAGTCTGTTTTAATCGAGTTGGTTTTTCTCATTTATTTGATTTGGATCTTGAACTAATACTAGAGGATTTCCTCAGATATCTAGTAGTCCTTGGCTATCTGCTATGACCAAGAAGCTGGTGGGAAGCTCTGTTCAAACTCATGGAGGGCTTTTAACATAGGTTTTCACCCCAGTCTCTAGGGAGTTCTGAGTGGGCCTGGTTAGGTTTGTCTCTGTGCTGTTAAACTGGCAGTGAAAGGACAGTGTTGTAGCACAGCAGGTTAAGCAGCTGCTTGGGATGCACACATCCCATATTGGAGTGCCTCGTTCAAATCGCAGTTACTCCATGTTTCTAATCTAACTTCCTCCTAATGTGCTTGGGAGGCAATGAATGATGGCTCAAGTATCTCCTCAATATGGGAGACCTGGGTGGAGTTCCTGGCTCTTGGCTTCATCCTGGCCTAACTCTGGCTGTGGTAGCTTTTTGGAGATTTGAACATCAACCAGAAGGTTTAAGATGTGTCTCTCTGATTCTTCCTCTGTCTTTGGCACTCTGCCTTTCATATAAATAAATAAATATAAACTGATAGTAATAAACCAGGAATTAAAAAAAAAAACTCCATCTATTGTAGATTGATAGTTTTAAACTACAGTCAAAATAAATTACCAGAAAAGCAAATTTTAAAAAAATAATGACAGATAAGGCATTTTTATTGTTATATCTAACAGCCATAAACTTAACTCTGAAAATTGCTGTAATCGTTTCTAAACACTTTCAGTTTCTGTGACTATCTTGTCATGGCTGTAGACACATGGTTCATGAACCATCAATAATATTGTTTTAGGGGCCAGTGCTGTGGCATAGCAGGATGCCTGCAGTGCCAGCACCCCATATGGGTGCTGGTTCAAGTCCTGGCTGTTCTTCTTCCAATCCAGCTCTCCTCTATGGCATGGGAAAGCAGTAGAAGATGGCCCAAGTGCTTGGGCCCCTGTACCACATGGGAGACCCAGAAGTTCCTGGATCCTGGCTTCAGATTGGCACAGTTCTGGCTGTTGTGGCCATCAGGGAATGAACCAGCAGATGGAAGACCTCTCTCTGTCTCTCTCTCACTCTCCCTCTACCTCTGCCTCTCCGTAACTCTACCTTTCAAAATAAAATAAAATAAAATAAAATAAAATACATCTTTAAAAAAAAAAAAAACACAAAACAATATTGTTTTAGCCCAAGGGCCAGCCTAGAAGAGAGAAAAGGGAGTGTGGAGTGGGGGTGTGGCTTGTATGTAAATAGACGTGCAATCTTGTTTTGTTGTGGTGCCCCCTCTCACCTGTGCTTGGTCTCCCCTAGTTAGGAGATTCGGTTTTACCCTCTGAAGAGACTAAACCTCTAGACTAATGTGGTGGGGACCTAGAATTACTTACGGCATTATAGAGTAGGAAGGGAATCTTCCCATCTATCTAAAACTCAAGCAGCTTTTCCTGAATTTCTCTATAATTTAGCTTCTGCCTCCCTTCAGTTAGTTGGTACTGCCAGTTCCCAGGTCTTTGGAGGATTCAGATGTAAAATGAATTCTTAGCTTTTCCTGCTATCGGCCTGATTATTACTAGTGTCTGGATAAAGGTAATGTTACTGATAAAATTAAAAGCCTTTTTAGGTAATTCTGTACCACCTTTTTTGGGGGGAAGGGTAACATTTCATTTTGAACTTTTAAGCTAAAATTGTTTACTTAGGTAAATTATAGATACTGAGTTTTATATTCGCATACTGAGAATCTTGCCTGGTTTTGGGGGAGCCTTTGATTTTGAAAATTCAATTCTTTTAAAAAAAATGAGTGTACTTTTTCTCTTGTCCAAAATCGTATTTCTCCCCCATCCGCATTGTTCTCTCTTTTTATTTTTTTAAAGATTTACTTTATTTATTTGAAAAGACAAAGTTACAGAGAGAGGTAGAGTCAGAGAGAGAGAGAGGTCTTCCATCCACTGGTTCACTCCCCAGATGGCCACAATGGCTGGAGCTGCGTCAGTCTGAAGCCTGGAGCCAAGAGCTTCTTCCGGGTCTCCCATGCCGTGCAGGGGCCCAAGGACTTGGGCCATCTACTGCTATCCCAGGCCATAGCAGAGAGCTGGATTGGAAGAGGAGCGGCCGGGACTAGAATCGGCGCCCATATGGGATGCTGGCACTTCAGGCCATGGCTTTAACCCGCTGCACCACAGCGCCAGCTCCCGCTTTGTTCTCTCTTATATGACACAGTAGCCTGTTTCTTTTTCAGTATATCATCTCAGGTCTTATTGCCATTGCCAGTTACTACTTTTTCTTTTTTTAGGTTTTCACTTTTATGTAGTTATTATTTGATGGCTGGATGGGAAAACACAGAGGTTTCTCTGAGTGTTCAGATTACTTTTTATTTTATGACCTGTTACATGTGATAATGTTTCTGCTTATTTTTTTTTAAAGATTTATTTATTTATTTTGAAAGAGAGACAGACAGATCTTCTGTCCACTGATTTATTCATGGCCAGCACTGGACCAGGCTGAAGCCAAGAACTTAATCCAGGTCTCCCATGGTTCAGGGGCTGAAGGACTTGGGCCATCTTCTGCTGCTTTCCCAGGCCATAAGCAGGGAGCTATATTGGAAGTGGAGAAGCCAGTACATGAACCAGCACCTATATGGGATGTTGGTGTTGCAGGCAGCAGCTTTACCCACTACGTAACAACACCGGCCCCTTGTGTATCTTTTTTTGTGGCATGGTTATTGAGGTGAGTTTTTGGCAAATAAGCTAAGATTTTTGCAGTCTTTTAGTTGGAAGAAGAGGGAAAAGTTGTGAGCTTTTTTTTCTAACAGTGTAGAGATAATAATTTATTTATGTAGAAAAAGGATAGAACTGGAACCCTTGGAAGAACATAGCCGTGGGTGTGAGAAGATTCATCTTTGTTCAAAAGTAATTTTCTGTTTACATTTCTTTTGATAGCTGGTGCTAGCAACCCTGTGCTCTGTCTGGCCTCTGGACCCAGTTCAAAGCCGTGGATTTGTTCCCTTTCTCCCCAGACCTCAGGCTGAGCCTTTTGTCATCTAAAGTCTCCACCTGATCTTCCACTCTATTAAAGGTATGTTTAGGGGAGAGAGTGGGCAGAATTATGTCATTTATTGCCTCACTTGGGGCACAATAGGTAGATGTTCAGTAAAAGTGGTTGGATGAATGTCCCAGGTAGACTTCCTCTTTAGAAATGGCGATTAGCAGGGCTGATGTAATGTGGCAGGTACAACCGCTGCCTATGATGCCGTTATCCCCGTTTGTGTCCTTGCTGCTCCACCTCAGATCCAGTGCCTGGGAAAAGCAGTGGAAGTTGGCTGAATTGTTGCCACCCACATGGAAGACCTGGATGTAGCTTCTGGCTTTGGCTTGGCTCAGCCCTGGCCATTGCGGCCATCTGGGGTGGGGGGTAAATCAGCAGATGGAGGATCTCTCTCAGTGGGTCAGCATGTACTTTTTTTTTTTTTTTTTTTTTTTTTAAGATTTATTTGAAAGAGTTACACAGAAAGAGAAGGAGAGGCAGAAATAGAGAGGTATTCCATCCGCTGATTCACTCCTCAATTGGCCGCAACGGCCAGAGCTGTGCCAATCTGAAGCCAGGAACCAGGAACTTCTTCTGGGTCTCCCTCATGGGTGCAGGGGCCCAAGAACTTGGGCTGTCTTCTACTGCTTTCCCAGGTCATAGCAGAGAACTGGAGTGGAAGTGGAGCAGTTGGAACTCAAACCAATGCCAAAATGGGATGCTGGCACTGCAGGCAGCGGCTTTAGCCGCCATGCCACAGCACTGGCTCCAGCATGTATTATTTTTTTTTATCTATTTAATATTATGGTTTTATTTTCACCAAGGTTCATATTTCATTTTCTTTTATTTATTTACTAAATGTGAATTTACAAAGTGCAACTTTTGCATTGTTGTGGCTTTCCCTCCTAACCTCCCTCCCTCCCGCAGCCCTCCCATCTCCCACTCCCTCTCCCATCCCACTCTTCATCAAGTTTCATTTTCAATTATCTTTATATACAGAAGATCAACTTAGTATATACTAAGCAAAGGTTTCAGCAGACTGTGCCCACACAACCGCACAAGATATAGAGTACTGTTCGACTAGTAGTTTTACTGTTAACTCTCATAGTAAAACACATTAAGGACAGAGATCCTATGTGGGGAGCCCGTACCCAGTGACTCCCATTGTTGATTTAACAATTGACACTCTTTTTTTTTTTTTTTTATGTTTTGGACAGGCAGAGTTAGTGAGAGAGAGAGACAGAGAGAAAGGTCTTCCTTTTTTCCATTGGTTCAGCCCCCAAGTGGCCGCTACAGCCGGCAGCTGCTTGGATACGAAGCCAGGAGCCAGGTGCTTCCTCCTGGTCTCCCATGCAGGTGCAGGGCCCAAGGATCTGGGCCATCCTCCACTGCCTTCCCGGGCCACAGCAGAGAGCTGGACTGGAAGAGGAGCAACCGGACAGAATCCGGCGCCCCAACCGGGATTAGAACCCGGTGTGCCGGTGCCGCAGGGGAGGATTAGCCTAGTGAGCCGCGGCGCCGGCCAACACTCTTATTTATGACGTCAGTAATCACCCGAGGCTCTTGCCATGAGCTGTCGAGGCTATGGAGGCCCCTTGAGTTCACCAACTCTGAACTTGTTTAGTCGAGGCCATATCACAGTGGAGGTTCCTTCCTCCCTTCAGAGAAAGGTGCCTCCTTCTTTGATGGCCCATTCTTTCTGCTGGGGTCTTGTTCACCGAGACCTTTCATTCAGGTTGTTTTTGCCACAGTGTCTTGGCTTTCCACATCATGTATTTTTAACTCTTTTCTCAGCGGACCATTTCCTTTGCAAACATCTTACTGTGTGTATTACAATGCTTTTGTAGTTCCCAGTCATTTTGTAGGATTTGGTTGTATCAGTGAGCATTTGGGAGATGCAGAAGATCAAATGGTTTAAGTTGCCAGGAACCTCTTCAAATTATTTTAATAATTTTATAAAATTATTATTATTTCAAGACTGGATGTGGTGTTGGTCAAGTTATGAGGTAATATTCTTAGAGACACAGCAATAATTTTTTTTTTTATTGAGAGGGTTACACAGTGAGAGAAAGTGAGAAAGGTCTTCCTTCTGTTGGTTCACTCCCAAAATAGCCGCTATGGTCGGTGTTGAGCCGATCCAAAGCCAGGAGCCAGGTGCTTCCTCCTGGTCTCCCATGCGGGTGCAGGGTGCAAGCACTTGGGCCATCCTCCACTGCCTTCCTGGGCCACAGCAGAGAGCTAGACTGGAAGAGGAGCAGCCGGGACTAGAACCTGGCGCCCATATGGGATGCTGGAGCCGCAGGTGGAGGATTAGCCAAGTGAGCCATGGCGCTGGCCCCACAGCAATAATTTAAATAGCACATTTAAAACCAGTGATCCGTGTCTGGGCCAGTGATTGGATTGTAGTAAAAAGAACATTAGCTTATAGGTTGGAGGATAAAAATTATTATAAAATTGTCTCCTTTTTTTGTTATCTGAATTTTTACAACATGGAATACATTTTTTGTCCATAGTAGCAGCCCTAATATAAGATGGTGTAAGGTTATCATCTTAGATTCCTTTTTTTTGTTTAAAGATTTTTATTATCTATTTGAGAGATAGAGTTACAGACAGAGAGAAGGAAAGATAGGGAGAAAGGTCTTCCATCCTCTGGTTCACTCCTCAGGTGGCTGCAACAGCCAGAGCTGGACTGATCCTGAAGCCAGGAGCCAGGAGCTTCTTCCGGGTCTCCTACGTGGGTGCAGGGGACCAAGCACTTGAACTATCTTCTACTGCTTTCCCAGGCCATAGCAGAGAGCTGGATTGGTAGAGGAATAACTAGGATAGGAACTGGTGCCCATGTGGGATGCTGGCACCGCAGGCAAAGGCTTAGCCCACTAGCCACAGTGCCAGCCCCTTGGATTGCTTTTACATGCTCTAAGTTTATACTTAGAGTTGAATATACTTGGAGACAAAATAGATTCTCTAAATAAATTTAAGAATTGAAGGCAAATAAGAGATCCCAAACAACCCTGATGTGTATTGTATATACCATACATTAAATATAGAAAATATTGATATTAGATATTATTTAACAGTTACCAAACTTAAGTAAAAGCTGAATTACTTAATAAGGTAGTCCTTTTTATCTGCTTTGTAGTCTTTATTTGTCCAGCAAAGATGTTCCCAATGTATTTGAAGCCAATGTGTTTGAGAACTAACATGAAAATCCAAGAGTAGTGCTGAAGAGGTGTCAAATGTGAAACAGGAAATAAGTGATGCTCTACTGAAAGAATTTCCATCTACTAGGCCTCTAAAGATTTTGATTAGCCTAGTGGCCAGTGCCGCGGCTCACTAGGCTAATCCTCCGCTTTGCGGCGCCGGCACACCGGGTTCTAGTCCTGGTCGGGGCACTGGATTCTGTCCCGGTTGCTCCTCTTCCAGGCCAGCTCTCTGCTGTGGCCAGGGAATGCAGTGGAGGATGGCCCAAGTGCTTGGGCCCTGCACCCCATGGGAGACCAGGATAAGCACCTGGCTCCTGCCATCGGATCAGCGCGGTGCGCCAGCTGCAGCTTGCCGGCCGCGGCGGCCATTGGAGGGTGAACCAACGGCAAAAGGAAGACCTTTCTCTCTGTCTCTCTCTCTCTCTCACTGTCCACTCTGCCTGTCAAAAAAAAAAAAAAAGATTTTGATACTAAGAAACAATATATATTGATCTTTTTATAATCTTTTTTTAAAGTTCCAAGTAAGCCATTATTAGAGAAGGAAGAAACCAAAACTGTTCGTTGTGTTTTATTTCACAATCATTTTTGACTCCTGTAACTTACAAGAGGTTGGGATAATTTAGTTTTCTTGTTCCTGAGCTGTTCCTCCCCTAACTGTTGCCCTAGACACTGAAGAAGGCAAATTGGGCAGATGACTTAGTAATTTTTTGGTCGATTCATATAGTTTTTACACAACATAGTTTCAATTGAATAGGTTACTAAAACTTGATTCCTTCGCCCTTAAGGCATTCGGATCTGGCTAAAAAGCTCATGAGAGTTTCGCAGGCATGGAAAGCCAAGACACTGTGGCAAAAAAAAAAAAAATAAAATAAAATAAAATAACCTAAATGAAAGATCTCTGTGAGTGAGATTCCAGCGGAAAGAACAGGCCATCAAAGAAGGAGGTGCCTTTCTCTGAAGGGAGGAGAGAACTTCTACTTTGACTATGACCTTGTCTAAATAGGATCAGAGTTGGTGAATTCAAGAGGCTTCCATAGCCTTGGCAGCTCATGACAAGAGCCACAGGTGATTACTGATGTCATAAATAAGAGTGTTGATTGTTAAATAAATAACAGGAGTCACTGTGCACCTGCTCCCCATGTAGAACCTCTGTCCTTAATGTGTTGTACTATGTGAATTAATGGTAAAACTACTACTCAAACAGTACACTATACTTTGTGTGTCTGTGTGGGTGCAGTCTGTTGAAGTCTTTACTTAGTATATACTAAGTTGATCTTCTGTATATAAAGATAATTGAAAAGGAATCTTGATGGGCCAGCGCTGCGGCTCAGTAGGCTAATCCTCCGCCTTGCAGTGCTGGCACACCAGGTTCTAGTCCCGGTGGGGGCGCCGGATTCTGTCCTGGTTGCCCCTCTTCTAGGCCAGCTCTCTGCTGTGGCCAGGTAGTGCAGTGGAGGATGGCCCAATTGCTTGGGCCCTGCACCCCATGGGAGACCAGGAGAAGCACCTGTCTCCTGCCTTCGGATCAGCGTGGTGCGCCGGCCGCAGCGCGCCAGCCACAGCGGCCATTGGAGGGTAAACCCAACGGCAAAGGAAGACCTTTCTCTATGTCTCTCTCTCTCACTGTCCACTCTGCCTGTCAAAAATAAATAAAGAAAAAATAAAGAAAATGAATCTTGATGAAGAATGGGATGGGAGAGGGAGTGGGAGATGGGATGGTTGTGGGTGGGAGGGAGGTTATGGGGGGAAAAGGCACTATAATTCAAAAGTTGTACTTTGGAAATTTATATTTATTAAATAAAAGTTGAAAAACAAAACAAAACAAAAAACCTTGATTCTTGCATGGTAGAGGCTTCTTTTATTGATAATTGAGGTCTAGATCATTAGAAAAGTGCTGGGCCGGTGCTGTGGTATGGTGGTTGGTGCCGCTGCCTGCAGTGCTGGCATCCCATGTGGATGCCTGTTTGGGTCCCAGTTTCTCTGCTTCTAGTTCATCTCTTTGCTGTGGCCTGGGGGGCGGTGGAGGATGTTCTGGGTCCTTGGGCCCCTGCGCCTGCGTGGGATACCTAGGGGGCCTCCTGGCTCCTGGCTTCGGATCAGTGCAACTCTGGCCATTGCGGCGATCTGGGGGGTGAGCCAGCTGATGGAGGACCTCTCTCTCTCTCTCTCTGCCTCTCTGTGATTCTACTTTTCAAGTAAAAAAGTAAATCTTAGAAAAGAAAAGAAAAAGAACTGTGCTTTTCCCATCATTCTGGAGTCATCTGAGATGTCTGTTGGGCATTCTAACTGCTAGACCAAATGTCTCCCCAAAGCTTTTATTGTAAGTGTAGGTTATCTTTGAGGAAGTAGAAAATCTGGAGAAAAGTCTGTTGGGGTTCTCAGAAAGTAATCACTATAGAGTCAGCTAAGCAAATGAGAAAGTTAGCGTTGGATGGGTGAAACGTGTGTAATTGGAGCTTTCCTATGAAGAATTGTTAAAAAGTGAAAGGCAGAGCCTTTCAGAGATAGAATGTATTCCATCTGCTTGTTCATCCTCGAAATGGCTGCAGTAGCCAGGGCTTCCAGGAACCAGAAACTCCATTCTGGCTTTTCACATGAGTGGCAGGGCCCCAAGCCCTCAACGCCATCCTCTGCTGCCTTCCCAGGCACTTCAGCAGGAAGCTGGGTCAGAAGTGGAACAGCTGGGACTTAAACCACCACATGGATGCTGCCATTGCAAGTGGAGGCTTAACCCACTGTACTACTACGTTGGCCCCAACTAAGATTTCTTAAATTGTTAAAAACTGTAGTATCACCTTAATATAAAAATTTTAGAGCTTGAGGGTATCTACCCAACTATGATTTTTTGTTGTTGTTGTTTGTTTGTTTGCTTTTTTAGATGAGGAAACTGAGCTGAAGGGAGGTTGAAGCTTTCCCAGTGTCATTTTGCAGAGCTGGAACAAGAGCTTGCATTTTCTGACTTCCAGATTAGTGTTATTTTTACTTCAAATTCTTACTTCTTGGTAAGCTGTTCTTTAAAGATTTAACAGTTCTTTTATTTCTTTACATGTTTGAGTAGCATTCCTGTATTGTGTCAAAATGAACTTAAAGATGCAAAATTTGCAATTACTTTTGTGATGGAAATTAACATTTTTTGTTTAACTTTAGGTGAGTTCATGTGGGAAAAATCCTGGTATTTTTGAAGATGTCTCAACACAGTATTGTGTCCTATTAAAATTAAAAATAATTTCAAGAATTTTCAGAAAAAAAGAAGATAGTAGGACTTTCTAAATCATGCCGTCTGAACAGAGACAGTTATTTTTTGATGAAAAGCAAACTACTTTTCAAAAAGATTATGATGTGACAAATGAGATAGTTGATACTACCAAATCAGTACCTAAGCCAAAAATTTCAGAAAGTAATTTTCATTGTGAACTGAAGAATGTGAAAATTCATTTGCCGAAAGTAAATATTCCAAATAAAGTCCTATTGAAACATGAAGTTGACAAATACAGAAAGTTATTCCAGAGTAAACCACAGACTGCAAGAAAATCTATTAGTTTAAAGACCATTAGCTGTGTAGAGGAGTATATTTTGCTTCACAAGTCCGAGAGAGCTGAAGAAGAGGGTGTCAAAATGTCTGCAAAAATACTCAATTTCAACTGTTCACAATGCCAAGATAGCACTCGATATAGCCCAAATGATTTGCAGAAACACTTTCAAATGTGGCACCGTGGTGAATTACCTTCCTATCCTTGTGAAATGTGTAGTTTTTCAGCAAGTGACTTCCAGGTATTTAAACAACACCGAAGAACCCACAGGAGCACTTTAGTAAAATGTGACATTTGTAACAATGAGAACGTATATACTTTATTGGACTTGATAAAGCATTTCACATCCACACATTGTGTTAATGGTAGTTTTCAATGTGAAAAGTGCAAATTCTCTACCCTTGATGTGGGCACATTTGTTCAGCATATTCATAGACACAATGAAATCCGTTATAAATGCGGTAAATGCCATCATGTGTGTTTTACCAAAGGAGAGCTTCAGAAACACCTTCATCTTCATTCTGGTACTTTTCCCTATGCTTGTCAGTGTTGCAGTTACGGTGCCACCAGGAGAGAGTACCTTATAACTTTGCACAAGGAACATTTATATGCAAAAGAAAAACTGGAAAAAGACAAATATGAGAAAAGGATGTCTAAGACTTCAGCAGGACTTAAGCTAATATTGAAAAGATACAAAATAGGCACATCCCGGAAGACATTGTGGAAACGTAAGAAAATTGGCAGTGGAAGTGACAGAAGTGTAGGAAAAAACACTCAGGTGCTTTCAGAAATGAACAAAACACAAACTGTATCTGAAAATCAGAGCCATCTTGTTCAAGAGCATTTGAAGGAAGACAAGGATGAAAGGCTACCCTGTGAGAATAATGATAAGCCCACTGAGTTAGAGTTGGAAAAGCCAGCTCTCCTATCCACTGGGCAGTGTCATAGAACTGAAGAGGGGTCACTGGCTACTTCAGGTTTCTTGAATACTGCTGTCCAAGGACCTACATTGTTAATGGTGAAAAATAATAAAATAACAGTTCCTGCTAACTTTAATGCTAAATTTATGGGCTTCAAGATGGTGGATGGAAAACAGCATATTGTAATAAAATTGTTGCCTACCAATAAACAGAATTTATATCCTCCAGGCTTACAGATGGATGCTGCAAAAGACAGTAATGCTAATTTGCAGCCTCAGACTGTGGACACCACTGGGTTTTTAACAGGAATAACTACTGAGTTAAGTGACACAGTTGTTATGAAAACCACCCCAGTTTTATGTTCATCTCCTATACCTTCAGGGAATGTAACTTCAGAAAAAGAAACAGGTTTCATGTCTCAGAGGAATAACATGTTTCAAACAATGGATTTTGAAAAAAGTATGTCTTCCTTGCCAGCAACATCAGAGTTGGTTACAGCATCAGTGAATTTGACCACAAAAGTTGAAACAAGAGATAATGTTGATATGTGGGAAAACTCTGCCACTCAAAGTCACTCTGAAGTGTTAGATACTGCCAGTAAAAGTCCAGATAAAGTCAGCTCTACCGCCAAACCAAATACATATAACAATGGAGATATGCATAACTATTGCGTTAATCACTTCAACCCTGAGTTAACTGTTGAGTGCTCCAAGCGAGGATCATTACCTTTTCATAATTACTCAAAAATGAATAACACTATAAAACGTCGTAGGTTTTCAAGAATAGTAATGTGTGAAAACCCTCAAAGAGAGCCTTCATCAAGCAAAACAGTTGTTCAACAACCCATTAGTGAATCAGTTTTATCACTAGTGAGGAAGGAGAGCTCAAAGCCAGATAGTTTTTTACCATCTGTTAGCCTTTTAAATGATAAAGATGGAACCTTAAAAACAAAAGCTGACACTGAAGAAGAGTGTGTTTTAGAAAAAGGGCAAAACAGTGATGAAGAAAACCTGTACACTAATGAAAATCAAAATGTAGAGAATGTGGCTGAACAGTCCAAGTGGGAAGATATTTCTAGTGTTGATACACCTATGATGCCTAGGATCACATCTGTTTTCTCTCTCCAGAGCCAACAGGCATCAGAATTTTTGCCACCTGAAGTAAACCAATTACTTCAAGATGAATTAAAAGCAAAACCAGATATAAAACAAAATTCTAACAGTACAAATACAGGCGTGCCACATCATTGTGACCAGTTATTTCAAAAACTCGAGGGAGAAGTCAAACCAGTTGAATCTTCAAATGAATTCAAAGTACCGGACATCTTCCCAGTTACATCTGGCAGTGTGGGTATTAATGTGCCTGCAAATGATCTGAATGTGAAGTATAATGGAAAAGAAAAACAAGTGTTACAAGATTTGAGAGATTCAGAAAAGTTGCCTAGAATTTCAAGTATTGGCGCATTGCTCAAGACTCAGTCAGATGCAATAATAACCCAGCAGCTTGTAAAGGACAAACTACGAGCCACCACACAAAATGTAAGTTCTTTATATGTGCAGAGCCCACTTACAAACTCAGAACCAAAAAAAGCTATATTTGTTCAGACTCCAAAAGGTTTGTTTATACCATTGCATGTTGCTAGCAAGCCTGGATTACACGTAGTATCAGGAAGACCACTTCCACTGGTTAATACACAAAGTATTCCTGCTTCTCTTCTTTTAAACAAGAAACCTGGGATGATTTTAACATTTAATAGTGGGAAATGTGAAGGGCTTCCCACCGTCAAAACTGAGAATGCTCAGGCTTGTGGAACTTTGACAAAGGAGCCTTGCAAAACACCTCTATTAAAAGTAGAACAAAACAGTAATTGTCTCACACCTGCACTTTGTTCCAGCATTGGCAGTTGTTTGAGTATGAAAAGTAGCTCAGAAAATACTTTGCCACTGAAAGGCCCTTATGTTATTAAAACACCAGCAAGTTCTTCAGTGAAAACAGTTCCTACTCCTAATAGAATATCCGAGCATCAAGGCACAAAGTTGAATATCTTGGATCCAGTAAAACAGCAGAATGAAATTTTTCCCAAACAACCTCTTTATACCCTCTTGCCTGATGGCAAACAAGCTGTTTTTTTAAAGTGTGTGATGCCAAATAAAACTGAGCTGCTTAAGCCTAAATTAGTCCAAAATAGTACTTATTATCAAAATATACAGCCAAAGAAACCTGAAGGAACACCACAAAAAATACTGCTGAAAATTTTTAACCCTATTTTAAATGTGACTGCTGCTAATAATGTTTCAGTAAGTAACTCTGCATCCTCATTGCAGAAAGACAATGTGTCATCTACTCAGACGATAGGAGAAGAGCAGAAAGAGCCAGAATCTCCTAGAGATGCCTTACCCCTCTTAGTAGATGATTTGATGCCAGCAAATGAAATTGTGATAACTTCTTCTACAACATGCCCAGAATCTGCTGAGGAACCAGTATGTATGAGTAACTCTTCAGAGGCCAGAGTATTAAGGTGTAAAACAAAGTATACAGTTGAGAGAAGCTTCAGCAGAAGAAAGACTTCCAAAAAGAATTTTTCAGAAATAAAAACTCATGTAAGTAGTAAAGGTTCTGAAACTGTCTTTGTATCTAGAAACAGAAACTGTAAACGCAAGTGTAGGGATAGTTACCAGGAACCTCCAAGAAAAAAATCAACACTGCACAGAAAATGTAAAGAAAAAACCAAACCTGAAGATGTCCATGACGCATTGGGATTTACTAGACCTAGGCTTTCAAAAGATTCCATCAGAACTCTGCGACTTTTCCCTTTTAGTTCCAGACAGCTTGTGAAATGTCCTAGGAGAAACCAACCGGTTGTAGTTTTGAATCATCCTGATGCAGATGCTCCAGAAGTAGCAAATGTAATGAAAACTGTTGCTAAATTTAATGGACATGTACTTAAGGTTTCATTGTCAAAAAGAACTATGGATGCTTTACTGAAACCAGTTTGTTGTAACCCTTCTGAAACAACTTCCGATGACTTTTCCAGGAGGCACAGAACATTTAAGCCTGTTAGTTCAGTGAAAGAAAGATTCGTGCTAAAATTAACACTCAAAAAGACAAGCAAAAACAATTATCAGATTGTGAAAACTACCTCTGAAAACGTTTTGAAGGCTAAATTTAACTGTTGGTTTTGTGGTAGAGTATTTGACAATCAGGATGCTTGGGCTGGTCATGGGCAGAGACATTTAATGGAAGCCACTCGGGATTGGAATATGTTAGAAGGAAACTAGTATTACCTTAGAAAATAACAGTGGGTTGAATTACTACAATGCAGGCATTTTCTACTTCAACATAATACCTGAAATTAAGCTTTTTAAAAGTCGGTTATGTTTCTGTGGAAAAGCAAAAGTTTTGTGTATATTACTTGAAAATGCTGTCACTGCACACATACATTTTGAAAGAAACTAATCACAGCACAGATGTACTTTGATGCAATTTTTGAAGATGTGTTCTTGGAAGTTAGAGCTAAAAAAATTTTTGATGAAGGTTTTCTCTGTTTAGTTCTTCAGTGACTTTTAGTAGAGGCTAATGGGTGACAGCCCCATTCCCTCTCTCCTTCCACCAGCCTTACAAATCTGAAATATATAGCTCCTCTGAAGACAGATAGCTCTTTTGGATGGAGCTGAAGGAGTTTCTCATCATTTGTGAAGGTGGAGAGCTTGGGTAAAGAATTTGCTCCATGTCTGCTAACTACAGTTCTTTTGAAGGGTCTTGGGTTCCTTTAAAAGTACATTTAACCCACTACGGTTATATCTTGCTTGAAGAGTTCTTGACAAGTCAACCTTTTATTCCTGTTAAGATCGAACCCATATCAGAGATTGAAACACCCTCCCCAGGTGATTTTCTTTCTCTAAATGGCTATGTCAAGTATTGCAGTACATGGATAGCCTTAAGAGAAGAGTTGAACTCTTTGTTTAAAGTCCAATTCAAGAACTTCAACATTTTTTCTGAATTTAATTATATTTTCCAGTGACCGCCTCTTGCACAGAACTGTGCTTATTTGATTTAAATTGTTCCCCATAAGCCCAGTGTTTGTTTTTTTTTCTTTTTTTGTCATCCCTTTAAAAAGTAGAACATTGAAGCACTTCCAAGGGAATGACTTTTCTTGAAAATAAAAAATTTCTTCTGCAGAGTAATATTTTGCAGCAAGATGAGCAAAGCAAATCATATTTTGGTCTGTGTTTAATTGCTGTTATTATCTAAATGTCCAAATGAAGACAAAATGTTTTTGTTGCAACTTTAAGTCTTAACTGACAACCCAAAGCAGATACATACTGATTGTTGGCATTTGAAAATGGGGAAGGAAGCATAACAGGGAACTCAGGCAGTACATGAAACCTGAAGACAATTCCTAAGGGACATGCCCAGTAGAGTTTCAAAATGAACATTTTCATGACAACAACAGAATCACAGATTTAAACTTTTCACCTTGCAAGTTTAGATCAAATTTTGTTGGATCATTGAATAATGGAGTTCTCTCATTACAAAATTACAGATATTACATAATTATTTGATTACATTGTTACTTCAAGTGTTAAGGACATTTCCATTGATTGTATGAAAACTTCAGGGCTTCTTTTTTGTATATAACAAATCTGTACATATTTTTGTATCTTTGAGTTATGTAAATTTTGCACAGAGTTTTTGACATAAAAAGTTTATTTTCTTTCAGTTTAGTTCAGTGCATGCATTAATAAAACTGGTTGTTTAATTTAAAAGGAATATGTGAAACTTTACCCATATTTTATTGGTTTTATTTCAGATGTAGATTTTTTTGAGATAAATTCATTTTCAGGGATTGAACACTATTGTTAGCAAGTGCCTACTAAAGATGTGAAACAGTTTACATATGTCAACTGTAACAGTAGGTCCCAAATGGGCCCATTCCCTTAAGAGTTTTATTTTAAAGAAAGCCATACATAGATGCTTCAAGCTATCTTGCTATGCACATTATACTTGTACTGTTTTTTGTGCAGTTTATCTACTTTCTTAGTGAAGTATTTTTTGTATAAAACCTGTTAAAATTGTGTTTCTTAAATTGAGCCTAAGAATGGAGTTGATTGGAAATATATGGTATATATTAATAATGTATATGGTGTTTAAAGATGGTAAGCATTGTTAATTTTATTGTTTATTGTTAAAGAACATTTTCTCCAATTAAATTTATCTTGAATTTGTGTTTATACAGATTTTTTTTTTTACTGTGCTAATGGGTATTTTATTCTAATGGGAAATACTGAGATTTCAAAAATGCGCTTTTATGTAATGGTAGTGAACTATACAAAATAAAGTGTGGGATTTTTTTTTCCCCAAAAACCTTAGATGAAGGTTTATATGAGAAGGGTAACATTTACCATAATTTTCTTATGGTTGTGCTGGCAACATAAGCCGTAGTGAGATTTCTGCTCTTTGGTACCCTAACAACAGAAAAATGGAAATACTGTGTTACGAGTAGATCTATAATGAGGCATTGCCTCCTGGGAACAGAGAGGATGGAGAGATGAACTAACCTGTTAATGTTTGCTATTATTATCTAAACCATAGAAATACATTACAGAATAGCCACAGCGGTAAAATATATTTAATATTCAGACATACTTATCTTAAAATTTTTTTAATATTTATGTACTTGAAAGATGGAGTAACACAGATGTAGGGGCAGACAGAGAAAGATGTCTTCCATTCTCTGGTTCATTCCCCAAATGGCTGCAACATCTGGGGCTGGGCCAGGCCAAAGCCAAGAGCCAGGAATTCCATCTTTGTCTCCCATGTGGGTAGCAGGGGCTAAAGTATTTGGGCCATCTTCATCTGTTTCCCCGCTTGCATTAGGAGGCAGCTGGGTTGGAAACTGCGCAGCCGGGACTCAAACCGATGGTCTGATATGAGATGCTGGTGTCACAAGTTTAGCCTGCTGTGCCACAACAAGAACCCCCTAAAATTTTTTTAAATGAACATCTTATGAAAATTGCCGTTACATTACAGCCAACATTACAAAATAATATTTAATAAACACTAACCTTGATTATAGAGTAGAAACCATGATTCTTTTTCAAATGTAATGACCTTGTGCTGAGTCACCTAACAGAAATCCAGACCCGCGAATGCTCACCATGGCATGGAGGAGAGATGAGAGAGCACCTGTGTCATCTGGAACAGCTACTAACGTTGCTCATACAGCATAAACCAACAATTTACTGTAGGCCATGTTTTTAAAAAAGAACACTTTCGAGATGGGAGACACTCAAAGCTTGCTTCCTTTTCCTTCGCATCCATGAGTTCAGTGCAAAGTATAGGGAAGAACCACGCCACGACACAAGGTTGGAATCAGTGCAGTTCTTTGCTTCCATATTTCCCAGTCTTTAGCACTGCTCCAAAACACAGCCTGCAAGCAAAGCTCTTCAGGCTCTCACTTGGTGGGCTTAAAAGCAATTTAAAATCAGTTTCATGTCCCAGATACTCTAGTTGAAACCTTTTCTGGTTTTAAGTTATTCTTAACAAAATTCTGATGGAGGCTTCCCTGCTTGGAACTTCATTGTCAGAGCAGAAAATCAATCAAATCCCTCTTTTCTCCTGGCTGAAAGACCTCTGGAAAACATAGTATTCAGTATTTCGATGTTCTTGGTACAACTGAAAAGAATTAGTTTTATTTTTGCAATTGAACTTGTGGGTCAAGAATGTATTTTAGTTTTTCCTGTTTCCATTTCACTGAGATAAGACTGTTACTGTTGGGCATTTACTTTTAGAAATTCACTTTTCTAAGAATTTGTCTTGCTAAATATTCAGTAGCACAGGTTGAAATGTAATACAGAGGTCTGGTGATTTAACTTAGACTTTGTAGGCCAAATACTTTGTCGTGACTATTCAATTCTTATAATACAGAAGCAGCTATAGGCACTTTGTAAGTAAATGACTGTGACTGCTTTAGTAAAATGACTCCCCCAACAGGCAGTGGGCCGTATTTGGCCCAGTGGCCGTAGTTTTCCAATCATTGCTTGAGTTACTCAAGTGTTTGCTCCTGCAGTGAGATTTTTCATTAAGAAACCCAAGTTTGATTAAGTTTGTGATACATATCATTTGTTTAGAACGTACAAAAATGAAAATACCTATAGTTTCAAATGTAGATGTGTTTTTATAAAAATGAAGAGAATGTAAATATGGTGAAAATGGTTAGTGGGCAAAGTGGATAGGTCATTTGTGTGCTAAGAGTAATGCATTTATGCAGGGGTTAAAAATGAAATAAGACAGAAATGCTGTGAGAATTTATGTCTGGGTTAGATGGAAAAGAGACACACAGTTGCTAGTTTTTTTAGTGATTTGAAACAGGTGTTAGGAAAAGAAAAAGTAATGCACATTCTTGACATGGGCAAGAATGGAGCGGAGCTGGAAACAGTATTACATATTAATTCATAAAGCTAAGCTTGATTTTAAAAAGTGATTCCTTTTCACCGATCCCTTTTCACCGTTAACGTCTACTTACTAACCTGGATATACCCCAGTTAGGGCACTGGCTGTATCATGTTCCTCTGCAGCTTGTTAAGATCCTTCTCAGCTAAGTAATTGGCTCCACTGAGGATCTCATCTGGCCAGGCTTGTTCGGGATTATTTCTGGACATTGTTTGTTGCTGTTTAACAGTGTAGCATGGGCAGAAAACTCTTTTTTTTTTAAATATTTCTTTACTTATTTGAAAGGCAGAATTACAGAGGGGAGGGTAGAGAGAGAGATCAGTCTTTGGTCTGCTGCTTTACTCCCTAGATGGTTGCAACAGCCATCACTGGGCCAGATTGAAGCCAGGAGCTTCTTCCAGGTCTCCATATAGTAGCAGGGGTCCAAGCGCTTGAGCCATCTCCTGCTGCTTTTCCCAGGTCATTAGCAGAGAGCTGGATTGGAACTAGAGCAACTGGGACACAAACTGGCACCTGTATGGGATGCTGGCATCACAGGTGATAGCTTACCTGCCATGCCACAATGCTGGCCCCAAAACTTCCCTTATAATGGAGAGCTGAAGTGGTTAATTTTAATGGTATGCTTCTTTGAATAACTGGACAATTGAAAGATAATTAGTATCTTGGAAGAGGTGTTTGCTGAAGTCGTCTTTTAGTCATTTTTTGACTAGTTCTCAATCTGAAAAGGTTTCTTTTAATGCTCCCAAGTTTAAGAATCTTCTTTAAAAGAGACCATAATTATTATAATAGTGTAAACTTTTAAAAATTGTGTAGGAAAAATAATGTACACCAATTTTTTGATTAATGAATTTGGAGGACACCAAGAATGTACTTAATTTGAATACCTAGCAAAGACTTTTTTAATGTGAAAATAATTATTTGATCATATTTTAAAGGGTACATCAACCAAAAGTGAGGGTTATGTTCAGATTGCAACTCTTGAATGAAATGTTGATGCCTGATTTATCAGTTATTCCATAAGTTACTACTTATGTAAAAGGATAAGAAAGCAAAATGAAAAATGTGGAGATGAGATAAAAATAACTACTTGTCGCTGGCTTGCTTTCAGCATCCAAAGGAACACAATGAAAGTTATCTTCCCTGAACAGTTAATAGCAATCAACTGGCAAACAATAGAAGACCTGTTTCTTTTTTTATATATAAGATTTATTTATTGGCCGGCGCCGCGGCTCAATAGGCTAATCCTCCACCTAGTGGCGCCAGCACACCAGGTTCTAGTCCCGGTCGGGGCGCCGGATTCTATCCCAGTTGCCCCTCTTCCAGGCCAGCTCTCTGCTGTGGCCTGGGAGTGCAGTGGAGGATGGCCCAAGTGCTTGGGCCCTGCACCCTATGGGAGACCAGGAGAAGCACCTGGCTCCTGCCTTTGGATCAGCACGGTGCGCCAGCCGCAGCGCGCCAGCCGTGGCGGCCATTGGAGGGTGAACCAACGGCAAAAGGAAGACCTTTCTCTCTGTTTCTCTCTCTCACTATCCACTCTGGCTGTCAAAAAAAAAAAAAAAATTATTTATTTATTTGAAAGAGTTACAGAGAGGCAGAGCCAGAGAAAGAGGTCTTCCACCCACTGGTTCACTCCCCAGACAGTCACAATGGCCAAAGCTGTGCTGATCCGAAGCCAGGAGCCAGGTGCTTCCTCTTGGTCTCCCATGAAGGTGCATGGGCCATCCTCCACTGCCTTCCTGGGCCACAGCAGAGAACTGGACTGGAAGAGGAGCAACCGGGACAGAATCCGACGCCCCAGCTGGGACTAGAACCCAGGGTGCCCCAGGCGGAGGATTAGCCAAGTGAGCTGCGGCGCTGGCCATATTTGCTCTAATTTTTAAATCATCTTTAAAAGACTTAAATTATGTAATGTAACAACTTGTTAGGTTTGTAACCTATATTGTATAAGACAGTATAGGATGGAGGAGAAAATAAAATTTTGATGCTGCACTAGAATTAAGTTAATAGTAACTTGAAGTAGATTCTGATAAAAGATGTGTACTGTAAGCCCTAGTACAAGAAATAAAATTCCTCAAATATTAAAACATCATTAGAGGAATTAAAATAGTTTAGAATGCCCAGAGCAGACAGTAAAGGATGGATAGGTCAACAACAACCAAAAAGAAGAAAAAAAAACATGAAACACAAAGGAAATTGGTAGACCTGTACAACCATATCAGTATAACATTAAGTATGAATGGTTTAAAAAAATCCAATAAAGAGGCAAAGATTTTCAAACTGGCTCACTAAACAAAATTCATTTCTGTGTTATCTATAGGAGGTACACTTTGATGGCATATGTCTTTAAGCTTAATTTATTTATTTGGGGCCGGCGCCGCGGCTCACTAGGCTAATCCTCCGCCTAGCGGCGCCGGCACACCGGGTTCTAGTCCCGGTCGGAGCGCCGGATTCTGTCCCGGTTGCCCCTCTTCCAGGCCAGCCCTCTGCTGTGGCCAGGGAGTGCAGTGGAGGATGGCCCAGGTGCTTGGGCCCTGCACCCCATGGGAGACCAGGAAAAGCACCTGGCTCCTGGCTCCTGCCATCGGATCAGCGCGGTGCGCCGGCCGCAGCACTTCCAGCGGGGTGGCAGACAGGAGGAAGAAACACACGGCAAAGGAAGATCTTTCTTTCTATCTACATTCTCTCCATGTCCACTTTGCCTCGTGAATTTATTAAGAATAAAAAAAAAAAAAAAAAAATAAAAACTTATTTATTTGGAAGACAGAGTGTTGGGGTTTGG